CATATTTTAAGAAAATTAAAAACCAATTTTTTAATCAGATAATTTTTCAGAATTATAAAACACGAATTAATATGATTTAATGGCATTTATAAAATTTGAAGGCATATTGATGATTGGTCATAGGTTCGTTGGACCAATTCATTATTGCACATTTATTTTTATTAAAACGAAGGCATATTTTATGTTCCATCAATTTGATAAAAACAAGGCTAACATTTTGAATTGTCATATTTTCCAGAAGGAAATTTAAAAAAATAAGGAAGATATTATCCATTACAGTGATAGTATAATCCATAAATATTATCATAGAAATAAGACAATTAAAATATATTGCAAATGAAAAAGATAAATATAATGCAAATAAAGAAGATAAATAAATATATTGCAAAAAAAAGTAAGGTATCATAATGTGGCCTTAGATTAATTTACTTCATATCATTGTGAATTAATTAAAAGTAAATATATATAGAATTACCCTCATAAGGGTGAAAGGGAAATTTTTACTCTGTATATTTTACTGACGTGGCCAAGAGTCATGCCCCCCCCATCCTATAAACTAAATCTTACCCCTACCGTGATGGAAACCGCTGGATATTAGTACTATAGTTTGCAGATTTACAAAATTTAAATTTAGAATTCCTTGTAAATGAGTTATTTGTGAATAATTTGAGATTTTATCGAGTAAAAAAATTCAAGATCGAATGAGTTTTTTGCAGTGTTATCTCTTAAGTAGAATCTCTTTCGAGGAAATTTTTTTGTATATATAATGAAATAAAACCCCTTAAAATAAATAATTAATTGACATATATCATTTTGAAATTTAATATAAATTGAAAAGCAAATATGAATGGGCACTAATTTTTCTGTCATAAGCAAACATGGTGAATATAAATTAACTTAAAATAATTAGGTAAAAAAAATATATCAATTTTTGCTAATATGTAATAATAATAATTGCCCATAACAAAAAAGGTATGAGAAATTATTATGTATAATACCTGATGAAATAACCGAATCTCCACTCTGTAATCCCATTTTTTTAACATTAGTTATCTCTTTTTCATCCAAAACAGTTATAGTAGAAGATGTACATGCCTTGCCGAAGTCATTTATAGCAACACATGTGTATAAATCTTCGTCCATTTTACTCATATTTTTAATTATTAAAACTATATCGGGATAATTATATAAAAATGATACATGACTAATGGCATCCTTTTTATATATAACTTTATCATTCAGGACTTTAGTCAATGTCGACTCAGAAATTTTATGTGTTTCATCTATCATATCTGGACCTTTGTACCACTGAATATTAGGAATTGGATCCCCAATTACTTTCAATTTAATAATGATCGTTTCATGTTCATAAGCCTTTGTTGCTTCCATTGTGATTACAAACTCAGGGGGTTTTCCGTTTCTTTCAATTCCATCAACCCTTTGGATTTCTAATTGATCGGGTTCTAAATTCTTATTATCCCTAAATTTTTTCGCAGCGTTTTCTAAAATCTTCCTAACCACATTGTCTTGTATATCTTCGGAAAAACTTGTCAAATCTGTATTTTTAGAAATATCCGATAAAGTTGAAATCTCAAGATCATTGTTTGTGAACGACGAGCCATAGGGAATGTCTTCGGTGAGGTATTCATCAGAAGAGGACGATGATTGCGAAATTGAAGAATTAAAAGGGGTGGAACGATGTAAACGTTTTCTTTTTCCTTTCAAAATTTTATTACTATCCAGATCAACTTCTTTGTTAGCAACGTTAGAATAATCAATATTATCTCTAGATATATCCCCCATTCCAGAGAAGTCTTCTTTACTTATGGTATCAAAGTCAATTTTGATTTCTTTAATGTGCCCGTATTCAGATATGTCATCTCCTTTAGATCCCAAGTCTATATTTTCTATATCTTCCTCAAGAGTTTGATCGGCTAGAATTTCTTGAATGATATTAGTGATCTTGGTTCGTCGTCTCAAACGTTTCTTATTTTTTAAAACTTGGTTATCGCTAGAGGACATCTTGGAATCATATTCATCTCTAATTTTCTCACTTTCTTCAACATTATCCGGTATTTGATTGACTGGCCATATATTTAACGTAGTAGATGTTAATGCGTTGCCTAATTTATTAACGGCTTCACATGTATATATATTCGCATCATTTTTTATTGTATTAAATATTTTTAATTCGCTTTTAGGGTATCGATAATTTAATCTATACCTGTTTTTAGATAATAAAGCTTCATCGAGACTCTTACGCTTTATTGAAGGTTTTATTTTTTCGTTATTAACAATATTGATATCATCTGATAATATATTAGTATTCGATTGAGTTATTATACCACCAGCAGTCCATATAATTTGAGGATGTGGATTTCCCTTTAATTCACACCAAAAGTTAGCTTCATAATTTTCATGGACATATTGGGGTAACAATACCTTGGTAAAAAAAGGTGGGTATTCAATTGACTCTTCTTCCAAATTATTTTGATTTATCATTTTTTGAAATGACGACAGCCGATATTTATTCATGCTCTCTTCGATGCTTTCTATTAATGAAGATTCAGTAATCTCTGATGCTGTAACGTTTCTACTATGTGAATTATCATTAAAATCTACCTCAATTTCGTTGATCTTTTCGTAGTGAGGCTTTGATTTGTCATTGGCTTTATTTAAGTTCTCTTCACTCGTATGTGCATATAGAAGTTGTGGTAAATAAAGGGCTTCATATGTATTATCAAAAATTTCATCAAACAAATTGATGTTTTCATCGAGAGTCTGGCTTTTATTACTAATATTAGAAGTAGAGGTGGAGTAATTTATTTTGTCGTCGCAACCAATATTATTAGGTTTGAAATCAAAAGTATTTTCGTGATAGTTGAATATAGAAATAGGTTCTATGTATTGTTTGTTGGTGTAAAGACTGTTTTGTTCTGATTGAGCATCCTTCCCATTGAAATTTTCGGAGATTATGGCAGGGCATATCGATTCAGGATTATCAGTCTGTACAATATTCTCTAATGGTTGATCATAGAGCCACAAACCATCGTTGGGAATTTCAAAGCTATTACCTGAAAAATATTGGGTAATATCTTCTATCTGAGACATTCTAAACATCGAAGGTATTGCAGATGAACGGTAATCCATCGAATATTTATGTCGAATAAATACAAATGGTTAGTTCCTGGTGTATTTCGAAGGCTAGCATAATTGCTCGAAATTACGAATCATTAATTATTTGATACTTAAGTTAAGTTTAAAAATTCATTTTTTGAAAAAATATTTATAATATCACATTTTAAACCCTAATAAAATTTCGTTATCGTGAAGAGTATATTGTTTATTTTAAAACAAAAAAAAATAAAGAAATAACAACAAATTTAAAAATATTGATAAAATATTATAAACTTTCAATAATCTTAAAAACAAATTGCCTCAGCTATAGAAATATATTAATAAAGTATAAATCAAGAATGTTTTTACCTAATGATGTCGAATTATCTAATAAACGTATATATCATTAAATATTTTAAACCATGAATATATTATAAATATATATGAATTCCGATTATAATAAATATTATATTATAATTAGAAAGTATTTATTTTAGTATAATAATAATATTTTACAACCTTGTATCCTATATTTTTACAAATTTAATGTAACATATTATAAAATTGGGTAATTTATAAAATTATTATACTATGAATAATTTTATATTTTATTGATTATTTAAGTTAACTTTATCACAATGAGTTAGGTGTAAATATTAAATATATCAATCCATCCTATTAATATTTTGCATATTTAATTCTAATAAATCTGTGTTAAGTATGGCGACCCAAAAAATTATTATTGCTTCCCAAATCAAAAACCGGGAATTTTTCACGGAGAATGGCCCTCCTACCAAATATTTTGGATTTATAATAATTTTTTTAATTTTTACAGTCCTAATTTTCAAATAGGATTTAAAAATATAGTAAATAATTGTTTTAAAGTTTCAAATCTATAAGAAAAGATTGAACTACGACATTTTAAGAGCTGTGCATTTTGCAATTTTAATGTAAAAATATTAATATGTTAAAGTCCATGCTATTAAAAAAAACCATATAAATTATTTATGGTTTCAGAATTGGATGAGCACCAAGTATAATATTTACTACTAATAATTACAAAAATTCTCTATTCTTAACGAATATACAGCTAAATAAGAAATTAAATTTGAGCTCTTGAATTTTAAGCATAATAGTTACATAACAAGTTTGAAAAATTTAATGTTTATCTAAATTAAATGGCCCTTCTTATATGGAAATAGAATCCAGATTCATACATGATGAAACGTATTCAGGAAAATAGCTTATAGATCTGTGGAAAGTTTTTTAAATAAAATTATTGAATTAATTCAATTGCTTTTATTTTATTTTTTATAAATATTTTTATACCTACCCCCACCCTTCCCCCGCATATTTTTTGAGCACCAAACCCCTGGTGTTGATGCAATTTATCAAATTTAGATAACAACAATTATTTACCAAAAATTATATTAAAAAAATTTAAATTCATTTTTTAAAAATAAGTTTCCACATTATATATTACATATACCAATACCAATATTTCAAGATCAACTCAAATAAAAGATTAGCATTAAAATTTGTATTTAATAATATTGACAACAGAAAATAAACGATGCGTTTTTAGAAAATTCAAGGATGAATTTATCGATTTCCAAACACAAATATAGAGGATTATATAAATAATTTGTAAAATAATTATAAACGAGTGGCTTCTTCAATTAATTAATGTTAGGTATAATTTATTATTAACGAAAATATTATACATCATTATTATTAAATTATTTTATAGGATAAAATTTGAAGTTAAATAAACATGAATATCAAATATTTGTTTATTTATTTTTTTCAACTATATTATAAATTTCTCAAGATTAAATACATTTTCCCCTACAAGACATTTTAAAACCCTTCATTATCTAATTTTTGTCATATAATTTCTCATATTTCTATTTATTACCCGTAAAAATTGAAATATTAAATTTCAATAAGATACGATATAAATATTAAAAGTACTTATACCAATTATTCACGATAGTGCCTAACCCACACCTCATATAATTTGTAATGTTATTATCACGTGCTTTTCTTTGTTTAGTTTTTTTCAATGAAGTGAAAACGCTTCCGTTTGAGTTTGAGTAGAGTGAAAGCTAAGTTTTGAATAATTTATTAGATTAAATTTTTATACATTGATTTATTCTAGAAATAATATAGCCAACATTTGTGATTGTATTTCTTTTTATTAATTCATTGAAATTAAATAAAACCCAGGTATAATAATTTTAAAAATTAAATTTTTGAACAATTTAATTTTCTAATGTTTCTTTTTAATATTAATTTATTGATTGTTAATTTATGTTATTTTATTACTAACTAAGCTCAACGAACACAGATTTTACTTTTCATTTGCAAAAATTTTCAATAAAATTTATTGTACAAAATAAACAACTTTACATAGCTATTTTTACACTTATTTATATGATCATTTAATTGAGATGTATGTAAAAAGTCAAAAGTAACTTATTTATATTTTATAACCCATAGACAGTAATGTTTTTTTTTATTATTACTGGCTGGTTCATCAGATTTTTATAAAAATAAGTAATTTTATATGAAATATGAATTTTATTTGAATTTCCAGTTCACATCTTGAGATATTTTTTTAGCCTTAAGTTATAAATTAATAATAGTAAATGTTTTGTGCAACATCATATGAAAGGATAACCTAACATGATCACTTTATTGCCTTATATTAAAATTCAATTCTTTAAAAAAATTATATTAAATTTAATTTTACACTTTATCTTGTTTTTATTTATCATGGCTCAGCTGAGTGTACACAATGTATTATTTTTAGTTAAATTGATATATTTTTAAATATCATGCATAAGAATGCCAAAAAGAAATTTAAAGTGGAGCTGAAAATTGGAAAAAAATGCTGCTGGTCTCAAAGCAGGGCTGATCTAAAACAACTTAAATTATCTTTCTTTTATAAATCAATACCAAGTATTTCTAATACTATTACTTTATGTAAAAAACTATTTTAGGAATATCAACCATTTACATCTACCTGAAACAATTAAAGTGTCTGCAACATCATTATTTATTATTGAAAACTATATTATCCACCATTACAGTAAATAAATCATTCACATAACATGAAAATACATTATCTACAATTAGAGCAATTCCATCTTTATTATCCTCACATTTGTCAGAAGCAACTACATCAATAATGCCTTCAGATATTTCACAAAGTGAATTATTGATATCGGAAACAATTGCATCATGTATAGGAATATTAACGTCACATTCATCTGTAACAATTTCATCATCTATTCTTTTAAAGAGCTCCTTCCCAGATATGCCACAAATCGATTCAGGGGATCCTACAGTAGCTCCTTCAGAATTGGATATGCATACATACACTTTAAGTTGAAATTAACAGCTACTATGCCTCAAATACTTACATTTTTAATGCAAGATCCTATACAACCAATAAATAGTAAATATGATAAATTATATAATCGAATGGTAATGAGTGAAAAATACTTAGAAAATGAAATTGAATATTAATTAAATTAACTTCAACTGAAAATATAACGAGAATTTAAAATAAAAAAGAAGGAATGGTGGTTTATCTGAATTAAAAACTTGGCTTAAATTATTTAGATTAAAAAATAAATAAAAGTAATTTTATAGTACAATAAATTATGTTTTTCTTTTTAAATATTAGTAACGAGTAACGTTTTGCGTTACCGTTACTCAAGAAAAAGAAACGCGTTACATTTACCTTTAGAAGAAGGTAACGGATGGCGTTTTTTTATTCTACTTTTTTGACGTTACTTTACAGCACTAATACTACTGCATTTTTTAGCTTTATAATTTTAACTTAATTTTGATCTAATTTTACATTTTCCCACCCATTTTTTAGTGAGAAAATTTAAAAAATTTTTTAGCCTGATATACCTTAATTTTTACATTAGCTATTTCAAATTTGAAGTTTTTAATGATTTATTTTTACTTTTCACCCTTTTGATTGAAACCTAGCCCTCACACATGATTTTCCAATTATTTGTTTTGATTATTTTTTAAAGTATTATTTAACTTATATTTTGATTTTTCCATATGTTATAATCAGGGTTTGACAAAATTTTCAAATGGAGCATTTGAAGATTTTTTCGCGAAGATCAAAAAAGTTAAAGATCTTTTCTTAAAAAAAAATTCATATTTTTTCATCTTCAAAAGAGCAAGGATATTTGAAGATTTTTGAATTTTGAGAAAATGTTAAACCTTAGTTATAATGCAACATACTAACAATTAAGTCTTTATTATCGTTATTTATTGCTAGTTTCAATATTAACAATAAACAATTTTTAGAAACACTCTGAGTGTCCATACAAAAAAATCCAACTTCTTGTCTTATTAATACTGACAATTTCGACGTTTACTCTATTATAATGAAAATATAGAATCCAAATTCAAAATATATTTCTTACTCTCTCAGGGATCAAGGATGTATTATTATTCACATTTTTTTGAATAAGAACTATTTCCAGAGGCTTGTTCCATAACTATTTGTCATCAGAGTTTCATGTTGAAGCTTATGAATTCAGACTTTACCAACTGGTCGCGTTGTTTAAAATGATCAATTTTTTCATGTTCATTTTCTTTGATGAACAAAGAAAAAGGAGCAAAGTTCAAAAAAATGTAGATATATCCTGAGCTTCCTTCAAAAGTCAAAAAAAGACTCTGATGGAAAATCTTTATGGAAGAAGTCTCTGGAAGTAGTTTAAATGAAGAATGTGAATTAAGAGGGTCAAATTAGCTGAGAAAATCTTTGTAACATCTAAGCTAGCTTTAATAATTTGGGAAGTACGAAATATGGTTGATTTGGGCTCCAGATTTTCTTCTAAAAGGGGGACAACAAAATTATTTGTACTGTACCTTATAAGTATTTATGAATCCAATAGTTGAATTTTATTTAAACCCATCTCATGGTGCTTCTAAAAATGTGATATTTTATTTACATTTATTTATTTTCATTTATTATAAATGCCAATCAAAGAGAATCATTTGTTTGTTGATTTAGATAATATACGCATATTACATTGATAAATTTATACTTTGAGTTTAAAAAATTATATGATGTGGAAAAATGAACCTGCATTGATATTCGCCATGTATTTTAAATATTTGAATAAAATTAATACGTTAATTTTTAACTTGTGAAAGAAATTTTTTTACGTGAATAAAAATATTAAAAATTTGGCTGACCTGTTTAAAAATTAAAAATTTTAATCTGAATGAAGTCGGGAAATGTTTGAAAACTTTTTGAAAACTTTATTATCAATCGGGAAATGTTTGAAAACTTTATTATCATTGTGTTAAATAATAGATTATTTATATTTTAACGTTTAAGACGTTATGTTATATTGTAATTGGATTTGTTATTATATTATAAATATTATTTTGTTTTCAATTTAACATTACCGATTAATTTATTTGACCAAGTATATATATGACTAGATGATGTATACAAAATAGATTATTGAAGTTTAAAGAAAATAAAAGATTAAATTATTCTCATTCGTATATCGATTAAACCACATATGTTCTACAACCCATCTTTTATCAAAATGAATTAGAGAAAATGGTTATGTAATATTGGAAAGTTTGATTTTCACCTTGATGAAATTATGTTGAAAAGTTTTTAATTTTCACTGTAAATATAATTTAAACACTAGTGGAAATATTTTAAAAAAATTTGGAAAAAAAATTTATTTAAGAATTTTTGAAATATCGAAAAATTATATAGGGATATAATATTGTGGTAATATTATACAAACGAATTTTTGCATGTGAATATAATATAAATTAATTGAAGAAAAATATTGCGTTTAAAAATCAATTTTCTGTGGCATCTTAATTCATTTAAAAATTTGTGCATAAGTCGGTTCACTGATCGAGTGTTAATAATCAACTTACAATAAAAGGAAATAAACATAATAAGATTTTATTTTAATTTAATACATATTGAAATTAAATATGGATTAACAAGATTAATCGTTGAAAAGAAATGTGTTGGAAATTTATTTAAAATAAGAAAATGTTTTATAGAATCTTTAACAAAAGATTCTTTCATAATTGAAAAATATATTATAAGCTTATTAATGGAAAATAACAATCTTACTATCCAGGAGATAATTAAAAATTTACCCTCTGGTAGTCCAAAAACGAAAACAACAATTAGTAAATATATCAAAAATATAGGTTGGTCGAAAAAAAGAGCTAGCAAAGAGACTGATAGAAGAAAAACTCCCGTGGCAATTAATATTCGTCAAATCTATGGTGTAAAGATCTTAAATATCCCAAGAGAAAAATTATATTTCTTAGATGAAACTGGAATAAACTTGCATGTTGTACTAATCTACGCCTGGGCGCCATACAATGTCCGTCCAATAATAAAATTCCATCCTCTAAGGGTATATATGTAAGCATACTTTGTACTATTGAAATTGGAGGGATAATCCATTATAAAATAATCGAAGGAGCTTATAATGGGTTATTATTCCATGATTTTATGACAGAGCTTATCAGTGTCTTACCACCAGATGCAATTATTGTAATGAATAATGCATCTATTCATAGAAGCCATCTTATCGATGCCTTTAAATATAGGATTAAATACCTACCATCATATTCACCTCAGCTAAATCCCATCGAAAATTTTTTTGGAGTCATGAAAAATAAATATCAAGCAATCAATCCCCGCCCTGAATCAAGAGATGAAATTATTGGGAATATTATTCAGCTCTTACAAGAATTTATTCCTTATGATTTTGCTAATGTACTATTTGAAGTTGGGTTATAGCGGGCAACTTAATTTAAGTAATCCTATTGATTTGTATTAATAATTATAATAACTTTTAATTTCTAAAAGGTACCATCATCAAATTCGTGGAACAATGGAATATTTTGATAAATTATAATTATATTTTTTTATGTATTAATTATTTTATCGAAATTATTATAAAAATTTATAGTATCTATATATATAATCACCGTAATCATTAACGTTTTCGTATATCCTTAATGTTAATTTTTATTTTTCTCATCAACTTTCCTATCTTCTTAATGTTAATTTTTATTTTTCCTATCAACTTTCCTATCTTCTTAATGTTAAATAAATCGATAGAGACTATATCTCTCTATTCTTAAATTTTAAGAAAATTTTTTGTATATAACGGGATTAGAACCCATGACACGATTTAAAGGCAAGCGTTCTTCCCGCTCAACCACCTTCTATATTAAATTTTGTAATATAATCTTTCTTATATACTTTATTATTTTATATTTTTATTGGCTAATTAATCTTTATTTTTATTGGTTTATTGAGGTGTTATTTCATTGGTTTAAATTTATTTTCTATCTATTTTATTGGTTCAAATTTATTTTCTTTATTTTATTAATTAATAATCAACCATTTTTAATTAACGATCTTTTTTTAATTAACGATTTTTAAGAAGATCACAACCTTTTTTATATTTTTAAGAAGATAGTCAAGTATAATTATTTTTTATTTATAAAAATAAAATTTAATATTATATATATAGATTATCATGGAAAATATAAATATTTATACAAACCAAAAATTTGTTCATATATTTAGTACCAAGTGAAATCCAACTACATTTTATATTAAAACTTCTTCAAGTTCCTAAATCAGTGTCAACCCTTCAATCATGTAAGAAATAACCTTTTTTAAATTTGAATATGTTTTAAGTTAAAGAAATAACCTTTTTAAAATTTTTAAGAAGATAAAATTATTTCTTATCATGTCAACTACATTTTATATTAAAACTTCTTCAAGTTCCTAAATCAGTGTCAACCCTTCGATCATGTAAGAAATAACCTTTTTTAAATTTTTAAGAATATGTTTTAAGTTAAAGAAATAACCTTTTTTAAATTTTTAAGAAGATAAAATTATTTCTTATCATGTCAAGTATAATTATTTTATTAATAAAATTTAACTTATGGCCATGAGATATTGTGAGATGAATATAAATAAATATAAATTATGTTTTAGGTTTAAGAAATACAAGATTTTTCCAAAAAACTAACCCAAGTAATTATTAAATTATCAACTAAAAAAATAAAGATATTTTTTATTTAACCGATCAAAAAAAAATAATAAAATAAAACATATAATAGTGGAAAAATTTATGATTCCCATCAATCTTACCCTCTCAATTATAAGATTTATCTTTAGAAATAAACTAATTTATTTTAATTATAATATTTCACACATTATTATTTAAAGTAAAATGGACTCTCTATACCTATTTATTTCATGGAATTAAAATACTCAAATACCTAAACTATGTAACTATGCCACAATATGCCAATCAAATTCACTACTCCTTAGTACATATTACATTTTAAATTTAACAAATACATTTAAATTATATTTAGCCAAATGGACATTAAAAGTAATAACAAAACTTTTCTCTCACCATTAATATGTTATCTCTGGAATACCAATTTAGCACTAAGTAAAATCCAGGGACGAAGCGTCCATAGAAGCAAGGGAAGCATTGCTTC